GGAGAGGGCGGGCAGGGCGGTCTGTTCACAGCGCTGCTCTGCAGCCTGGCCAGGGCAACGCCTGCCGGCAGCAGGGCGAGGCTGGCGCTCAGCAACACCACAGCCCCTGCTCCCTGCTGCCTCTCTCTTTGCTCAGACCCAGCATCACCCCCGTGTAGATCTGGTGCAGCCCTGGCCAGACGGGCACATCGGTGGGCTGCTGCCAGCGTGTTTACCAGAACAGCAGTCGTGCAGGGAGTCACGCAGCCTGGAGGAGAAGGCAGCAGGCCGAAAAACGGCTCTGGAGAACATCCCTCTGCTCCACGTGGCTGTACTCAGGCACGCAGGGGAAGGCTGCCACTCGGCTCTGCTGGGAAAGCCTGGGTTCCCTCAGCCACCATCACCAAGAGCTCAGATGTTGCTCCTCCCAAGAGCACTGGGATACTGCGGGAAGCAGGACATTAGCATGCCCTGTTCACAAAAAGTGCTAAAACAGGTCAGCAGATAAACCACGGCGTCTGCCACAATGGTACCCCACCAGAGCAGCCACACCACAGGGCTTCATGGGGATCAACAGCAAGGAGCCAAGACATATTTGTGATCATAAAGCACCTGTGTAATTAGATACCTGTGCCGCCAAAATGTCTGGAAGAAAAGGGGCAGCCTTTTTCTTGTCCTCAAACAACGTATCTGCTGCCGCCAGAGACAGGGCAGCAGCCCCAGCAGTCCCCGCAGCAGTCAGGTTCTCCAGCTCCCAACGGCCATGACTGACCTCTGCTGACAGTCCTGCATTTGTGGAGTGCAGCACACTTGGCTCTAGAAGACTTGCGCAGGACAAAGGTGAATAAACACACACCAAGGAAATACCGTAATAAATACATTTATTTACACTGCTTCCCCTTACCCTCCTTGCCACAAAGGGCCGAGAAAGCAGACACACATGTAGAACAGGAGGAAAGAGCCAGTACACCCCAACAGTTAAAGACAGTGCCCATCTCTCAAGAGCCTAGTCCCCAGCTCCCTCCCTTCCCCACTTCAAGACGTATGGACCTGCATGTTAACTCCCAACAGTCCTTCACCGTCCCAGTTATGACCAAAGGGTTCCTATGGCCCATGTAAACCCACAAGGTTCTCGGTTATCCATCCCTTACTTGGCTGGGGGGGTCTCTCCAGCAGACGAGCAGGGGATAGCAGCGTCAGCCTCTGGTGAATGCCCCTTGCTTTTCCCAAATTCAATCACCAGCGGCTTCCCCTGCAGATTGTACCCGTTCACCAACAGCATGGCGTCCTGGGCCGACTGAATATCTGCAACAAGAGAGCAGAAAGGGCACAGGTTACATGGCAAGCACTGGCACAGACACACGTGGTGCTCACACAGACGTTCCTGGCTCACAGACCCTCAGCATGTACCGTGACCCAGTGCGGCACTGGGATCCTCCGGCCAGAGCGACGTGCTGAATATAAACACGTAACAAACTGCATCCCCTCTGCTTTGGTGAACCCATTTCCAGTCCATGGAAAAGACTATGGCATGACAGGAAGAAGAGGAAGTGAACTCCCCTCCTTCTCCTTGGAGAACAGGCTTGACGCCAGCCCAGTGTCCTGCGGGAAGACGTGGTACCTTCGTGGGTCAGGGAAGAGGCAGCAACTCACCAGGGAAGGTGATGAAAGCCTGACCCCTCATCCGGCCGCTCAGGAGGCGGAACTGGATCGGTGGGCTGTCCTCCTTCTGGAACCGAGCAAACAAGGACACTAGGTCCTTCACCGTCACTCGAGGGCCCAGGTTCTTCAAATACAGCACCTGTTACAGAGACAGAGGGTCAGCCGGCCTGTGCCAGGCAAGCAGACACCTTTCAACCTGGTCCCAAGTCCATACACCTCAAAGATATGAATTAGTTCCACCCTTCTGCAATCCCAGAGTCATTTTCTCTTGTGTGCTAATGGCAACTTTGGAAGACAGAAGGGTGTATGGAGAAAGGCAGCTCTGGACACAAGGCATCATCATGCTTGCTGTGTCAAGTGCTGATAGCTCCAGTTATTTATAAAACACAACAAGCTCCAGCTACCAGTTAAGCACAGTTTGAGTGAAGTCACAGCTGGTCTCAGTCCAGCCCAAACAGGGAGAAGGTATCTCAACTAGCAACCTACTGGAGCCCGAAGAGCTGGGGTCTGAACCACAGCTCTTTGCCAGGCTGGGTGACTTCCCAAGTGATTCAAAGGTCCCCTTCCCTCCCAGAGTGGAGGCTGTTCTCCCTTGGCTGGGAGGATCAACCAAGCACCCTCCAGGCAACCGCTAGTCCATAGCAAAGAGAAGCCTTTGCCTGCTGAAGCAGCTTCAAGGCGTGCTAGTGAGGAAGAAGAATAAATCCTGGTTCATCTCAACATACTTTGTTGGGCTCCCCAGGACGGTAAGACGAAAACCTGGGTATACTCCGGAGTTCTTCCTCTGAGAGACGGTTCTTGCAGATCTCCTCTTCTGGGACAAATGCTACAGGCTCTTTGATAATCACAGGCCTTGGAGGGGATTGGTGGGGCCTTGCTGCAGAAAGGCTGGGACTTGTTGCCTGTTCTGCCTGCTCTTCCTGGTCTGGAAGCGATGATGACTCAGCCACAGGCCCCTGCGGGGCTAGGGAAAGGCACAAGCATGGGTCACTCTTGGTAGGCTGGAATTCTTCAGGCCTCTTGCTCAGCAGCTCTTGGTAAACACTCTCCAGATGAGCCATGGGATCCTTTTCATCTGTTACCCTCTTCGGAGTATCATCTAATCCATAATGAAGAAACATGGTAACGTGACTACCACCAAGAACCTGGAAAACGCACAGGCTGCAGGAAGAGACACAGACAGGAGAAACCCTGTTCCGACCCAGCCTCCACACATCTGCCAACCAGGCCCCGCCGGGTCTCTAACACAAGAATACCCCCAGCAGTCAGCAAGTGCTGGTGTCCCAGCTCAGGACCAAGCTGCAGAGAGCAGCAGCTCCACCACTGCTCTGTACAGAGCTCATTTCTTGCAGAGATGTGTTCACTAGCTTATCTGCAGCCACATTTCAGTATATTCTAGTGACTCCTTCAACACACGTTCCTCCTCCTGCATGCATGGCCAGGAGGTGCCATGCTGCCTTTCTACACCACTACGTGGAATATAAACAACTTCTTCCAGGGACATCAGATTGAGCTCCTGGGTTTAAACAAGGTCCATGTCATGGACTGACCAATGACATCTCCTTTATTTAATGGAAATGAGTACAGAAGTGAGAGGGCCATCTCCCAGCCTATGAGCCTCAACCTTGCTGCCTTAGTTTTGCTAAATGCCACAACACTGACACCAAAGGAGGGAGCAGGGGCCAGAGGACATTGGGTCAGCTGGACATTATAGCTTGAACTGCATCAACGCTTCTCAAAGTAGCATTTTAGGAGTTGGAGTTTACAAGTCTCTCCTCATCTTCTATATAATACTGTCTTACAAAAATCAGTCTGGGCTGGAGCTTCTTGCCCGCATGTTCTCCAGCTAGAGCAGACTGGAGCAGTTTTGCCATCTTGGGACAACACTTGAATCTCCATCCAGAAAAGCCACCTTAAGCCACAGGCTCGTGACAACACTGTTGGAGCGAGAAGCGCTGCCATCCCGTGGACACGGTACTGGGAATCAGCAGTTGGGCTCCATTTCCACTTCGGCTGCCAGGAGGGGCCTTTAACAAGTCACTGCTGCTCTTTCCCGCTCAGTGCCCTTGCTTCCCTCCCACCCTGGTTAGACTGCAGTTAAATCAGAGAAGGGATGATCTCTAGCCCCACACAGCCACCTCGTGTCACTCGGTGCAGCTTAGTGGGGACCTCTAGGCTCTACCAAAGCATAACCCTGGCCGCTCCTCCACATACCGAGCTGGGCTCTGCAGTACATGCAGCACGTCAATGAGATCCACACTCTCCAAACAGAGATGGACTTTACAAGCCTCTATACTAAACCCTCCAGAGAGCCCACTCTCTATCTGCTCATGGAAGAGCTTAAAATATCTCCTCCCACACAGTGCCAAAACAGAACCATGTCTTCAGAGCCAGAAGGCCAGACAGAAATGTGTTGGACTCCCACACGCTCTGGCTCTCTGTGCTGAAGGAAAGGCAGGAACAGCCTTGAGCCCACAAACCTTGGTGGTAGAGTGCCCGGAGGAAGGAGTGGCGGTCTGTTCCCTGAAAGAGGGCATTTTCAATCTCCATCTCTGCCGCAGACGAAGTATGCTCTGTGGCTCTTCCATCTTCTCCTGGATGGCATGGAGTCGGTCTTGCGTGGCCTCCGGGGCTGCTCCCAGTCCAGAGCCCTGGAAGACAGTCACAGCTTTGCTCAGATACGGCACGTGCCTCCTTTTCAGACACTCAGCCAGCAGTCAAACCCCGCATCCTCCAGCCCTGGAGCGGGTGCAACTAGGAACCACTCCCACAGAGCAGGTCACCACGAGGTCCTGTTACTGCAAGGGTAGGACAGAAATACAACCACTCTGCAGGCCTCAGCTCTTGAGAGAAGTGGAGAAATAGCCTCTTCCTTCTGAGCTTCACGTGTTGCTTTCCTCCCCCTGGTCTCACTGACTGACGGTGCCTGTGTCCCTCTGTCCCAGCAATCCCTGCCTCTGCCAGCGATAGCTGTTTTCTAAGGCCACCTACAGTGACTGCACAAACCTGCTTTGGCATTTCTTTTGCCACACCTATAGCATCCCTGAGCTCAAATTTCCACCAAGCTTTTGGTCTACAACCCTGGCGTCACTGAGAGAATCGTATTTGCTGAAAAGTGGACCCCAAGCTGCTGTTTGGTTTATGCTGAGAACTAAACCCCTCACCAGCTTCACATGAGCCAGCTCCCAGAAATCCAGTTCTGCAGCACAGACCTCACAGCTAACCTGTCTTCAAGCAAGCAGTCCTGTATAAATAAACCTCACTGCACAGGGCCAGGACACTGCTAAGGTTCACCAGACTCATGCTGCCAAAGCATAGAGACATATCCCAGCTTCTGGAGGGGCATTTCTGTTCCCCCATCCACCTCTATCAGAATCCAGAAAATACAGTTTTATGGGGCTGTAGATGGATTTTCTGTTCTCAGATTCAGTTTGAGAATTACTGTGGCAGATCTTTCTGCCTCAGGCAAGAAAACAAGCTTTCGCCCTGCACTGAGCACAATCTAACCAAGACTTTCCCATGGGTGCCTCTCCCTTCCCGCCTGACTGCATGGGCCCACATCTGCACGGCTTCCATTCACCATTTCACAGTTTCCCTGGGGCACAAAAGGCTGTTTATATGGAAAAGCAATCCCAGGAAATCATTTGTAGTACTTTGTTTTCAAAAAAGCTGCAACTTAGCAGCTGAAAATAACAGAAGCCTGCATTTAGTGCTTTGCCAAGAGCTTCACGGGCAATCTGAAGTCCCCTCTGTCTCAGCTAATTCCTCCTTGGTGGAATCTCACTCGGAGCCTCCACACACAAAGCTGCACAGCGTTACCTGACTTGGGCTTTCTCTCTAAATATTCTTCTTCTCTCACGAGCTGTAGAAGATGCACGCTAATGCCACTGGTTCTTTCTGTCAAGAGCAGTGTTTTCCATGCTAATCTTTACTTCTAACCATCCCAGAACTGATTTCATACCAAATAGAACAGCTGGTACTGTTGACAATAATTTTCATTTCTAAATGAACACCACTGCCCTCTAACCCAAGCTTTAATGCAGGCCACACCAGGGCTGGGTTTGCATCTAAACACTAAAGCAAGTAACGACTTCAACTGTAGAGAGGAAAACCCACGATTACCACAGACAGCTTCCTCCCGCACACGGCTATTGCTCAGGAAGACGAGAGACAGAGGGAAGCCAAGGGTCAGCGCAAGTCCTGTTTTGCACCTTCTGGTTTACCAAATTAAGAGCAGGACACTCCAGTGCACCCGACACAAGACACCCCCAAAAGCCCCTTGTTTCTGGAACACGAAAGAGAAGGGTGAAGGTAGGTGTCCTGGTTTCAGCTGGGACAGAGTTAATCTTCACAGCAAGCTGGGAGGGGAGACAGTGCGGAAGGCTGACCCCCAAACTAGCTAAACAAAGGGAATATTTGGTACCGTGTGACCTCATGCTGGGTATTTAACTGGGGGGGCTGACTGGAGCAGGGCAACTGCTGTTTGGGAATGGCGTGGGCATTCCATTCCAGGCGATGAGAAATTGTATTGTGTATCACTCACTTTGTGTATTCTTTTACTAGTATTATTGTTGTTATTTTTCTCTTCATTTGCTGTTCTGTTAAACTGTCTTTATCCCAACCCATGAGTTTTGCTGCCTTCTTCCAATTCTCCTCCCCACCCCAGCGACGAGCGAGCAGACGCATGGCGCTTTGTTGGTGACTGGGGTTAACCACGACAGTAGTGGAAGGGGAGAAACCCGCTTTGGCGCTGCTCTGCTGCAAACGGCACCCAAAGAGGAGCATGTCACTGCAATCACACACCTGGTTCAGCA